CAGAAGACCGAAGAAGGTTGAACATGAATATTCGAAAATTGCATCATGACGGACCACAACCTTATAATTATGAGCCTGCTAGGCGTCAAGAGACCAAGGAGCACCAAGGATTAGAAGAAATAACGGCCATCGGAGAGAAATTGAGCTGTGGTGTGAGGAGAACCAGTGGAGAACTGGGCAGTCCTATCTTGGTGAGTGACCGGCGTTAGGCTACAGAATGTTATGTAACGTCACCATCCCAACATTGCTGAAGTTAAGCCTATGATATATCAGGGTAAACTAAAGTACATTGATAATATGTAGTAACGTTACTGGCAGGACTGTTGATATCTGATCCATAACAGAAACTAATGCGCAAGTATCAGCCGTATCTCGCGTTTTACGTAATGCCAACTCCACACTCGGGCTGTGTACCGGAGGGGAGACGCGAGATACGGGCTGATTCCTTGACGATCTGGCGGAGAAAGGTTGTGGAGCCTCCGTTGATAGTTCCGTTGTAAATGGCTTGATGGAAAGCAGGTGTGTAATGCGGGGAGGGTGCACAGCTTGATTCAGCAAGGTGAGTGGAGGTTGAGCCGGGAGCCAGGAGTGACAGCCACCACGCCCACACACAACAAGACAGGGGGAAGACAACCCAAACACAAAGGAGAACGGCTGGAGCAGTACAGCCACCACAGCGTTACCTAATGCTAACTCCACACTACGTCTTACGGTGCCGTTGTACCGGAGGGGAGAGAGAGAGAGCAGCGAAGGGGAGGGAGAGAGAAAGTAATACGGTTTCCTGATAAAGCTGTGGAGAGTATGTGCCTGCAGGGAGGTGGATGCATAACGCACCCAGGAACGAACGCTAGCTCCGGTCTTTTTACTGTGGCTCGATGTCCTGACAGGCTGGATCTTGTGCAACCTGCACAAATACAATACTGCACCATGATTACAAATGGTGAATACATGTAAAACTACCGAGAAATACCAGCTCCTAAAACACAACCGCTCAACTCAACGCAACTACTAACTATACCCGGCGGTCAGAGAGGCGGAGATGTTTCCCCCCTTTTGTTTATGTATATGACGTGTTTTGACTATGAACCTTAAAAAAAAGCCGTTTTTAAGAGCAAGCTCAAAATTGCTCCTTCCCTCTGATTCCTGCCCTTATGTCTCATAAAACGATATCAAAATCCTACATTCACTTTTTTAATTGTAATTTTCAAGCAAGTTTAAGCATAAATGTAGAAAAAAAAAAAACCTGCAAGATGCTCTTTAACCTCAGCAATTATTGCTAGATGTAGCATGTAATGCTACTTTCAAGGTAAGGACAAACTTGGATATCTATGCAAGAAAGATAACTTTGAAATGAATATGCTTTATTCTGATAATATCAGTAACAGGGTTGAGTGGGTCAGAGTGCCACACTCTTTTAAGACTGAAAATAAAAGAGAGGACTTAGTTTTGGTCTACCCACGGCACTAGCACATGCCTTGCTGATGTCACTTCGACTGTGTCATCTGACTTACAATTTTTTTCACTTCCTGTGTCAATCTAAAAAGGTTTGGGTAACAGGGTTGAACCATAGACCGTATGGGTTGAACGCATGTTGAGGGACACACCTTCTGTGCAAAATTACTGTTATTTAAAATATGTTTATGATTTAACAAATTGATTTTACCATTACAAGAGACATATATCAATAGAATAATACCAAAAAAAGTAAATAAAATCCCTATTTTAAATGTTATATTTGACATGCAAGTTGGTCACCAAGAAGCGGGGACAAGAGAAAAATGCCATTTTAGGGGATGTTCGAGAGCTATTTGATAATTTAAATAATATTTTGAAACCACTTTTTCTACAACTTTATACACATTTTGTCTCAAGACAAGTATGTTTAACACAACAAGTGCATGTTTTAGCTTTTGGGGCATGGATTATTCGATTTTTTATATGGGGGACATGAAATGTCCTCCAATTCCGGAATGTAAAGCAAACTTACTAAGAGTTACAATATCTAATCTATCTCTGAACACAAATCACTCCGGTAATTTAATTCATGTTTAAATTAGTTAACGAGCAATTAACGACCCCGAAAATGCATCGTGAATATTTCGTATCAAACAATTCATTCAACAATTCATTCACAATTCATTCACTCATAGAGGTTGGTGCTTTCTCACCACACAAAAAACGACTTTGCTAGTGTCTATCTATCTCCAATAGTTCACTAGAGCATACAGTCCTAAAAACGATTTATAAATGTCTGGATGAAAAACATGTACAAGTAAAACAAACTTACAGAATATACACAACTCCAAGTCCACACTTGTCTGCCATTGTTTTCCCCTTCTTCAGGAAGCTGCTGTGGGTGTGTTCACTGTGTTGTCTGTGTTGTGTGTGCAGGGGAGGCGGGGCTAACTCAGTAATTTACTACAATGCTGTATAATTGCCATGGCAGATTATATCCAAGTTACATTCAGTTTACAATAGGTTACAGTAACAATGTAAAATATTCCCGCTTCATCAAAACTACCCAGAATGCAATACAAACTAAAATACTTTACTGTAATAAAGAAATATAGCATTTTACTGTTGAGTTTTACAGTACTTTACTGCAAAAACTACAACCAAGTCTAAGAGTGTAGTGCCATTTGTTTTTCGATTGTTCTCATATCTGATATTGTTCTCTTTTTCAGCATATTTTGTATACATTACAACATTGCCTCTCTCACCTCTGTGGTATCTGATCATATGTATTTGCTATGCGGTTGTTAAGAATTTTCTTAACTGTGCAAACACAGATTCATTTCCCTCTGTTTGCAGCAATTACTCATTTTGTACATGTTTTCTTCCTCCAAACCTGATGGGAATATGCTTTTTATGAGTCAGTTTGGGGAGCTGCAAGATAATATATTGCATTTGTATAAAATGAGCATACTCTTCATACAGCAAAACAGCGTTTACCCCAGAGCCCTGCTGTATGCAGTTAAGGGACTGGGAAAGGTCGCATAACTCAGGGGCAGAATAAGTGCTGCGTATAAATGTATGAAATATGATGTCTTAATGTTATCACCTCAAACATTTAAGTTTCGAGGCAATTACAACATGGCATTTTCACTCTGAATCAGTAATTAATTTTTAACATTTTTCTGTGACATTTCAGCATAATCATTATTTCTGATATTTTCTGCCTATTTTTATATTTGACATTCTTAGTTGGAGCTCTCGTTGGATAAGTAATTGTACATTTGCTTACAGTAAATAACTTACAATATGACAATAATATTACAATATCTTACACACGTGGATAAGATCAAATGTTCAGCTAATTTCAAACATGCCACACAATGTAGATAGCAATGTTTGCATATCTGAACGCCAAACCTTAGTTTTTATATTGAAGTGCCATATTGTTTAGCGGGCACTTCAGTGTATATAACATTATTTTTAGTGAATATACAGTGTGCGCCTGAGTTCATAATTCAGCCAGCAAGATCCTGTACAACAATCTAATTATATCTATATTCAAGAGGGATCTGAGGATTTCTCAGCGGGCTCCATGCAGCTGACTGTGTGTGCATAACTGTGGGCTTGATTAACAAGTTGTTGAGTCAGCACATGCAGTTGTAAAGTGCTTCAAGCCAACAGACTTTCTAACCTACAGCAAGGTGCTAAAAAGTAAACACAGAAATTACTGCTGATGGAATATGGTAGACTCTTAGCGGATTAACTTTTGTTTCACTTTATTATTTTAAGTTATTTCCTAAGTTAATTTTAAAGAGACTGTTTTTTTTTCAATATGCATATGTTCTACATGCATGTATGCCAAATGTCAATCAAACCTTTGGAACCTAAAATATGATCATTGTATGGTCCTGACAACTTCTTATAGATGTCTTGGTATGTTGACATTCTGTAGTTTGGATCAAATAAAGCTGTTTCCATTTAGTTATGTTTTAACACTTCTCGAAGACAAGTCCTGGTTTAATAGAAAGCATTACATTTTATTAGAGTACAATAAAGGTTTTTTTTCATTTCTTGTTTGGTGATAAGGAGGTTTTAAGAAAGAGATGCAGGCTGGCGGATGCAGTCACAAGTTCACTGCAATGGTTGTAAAATATATTTCATTGTTTTAAATTGACCAATTTTGAATTAGGAATTTAATATTATACACATTCTTCACATATCATCTCAAAGGCAAACACAAGCCATGGACTTGCTACAGTATTGGAGGATATGAAATGATGAGAATAGTTTGCAGAGCTATATAGATAAATGCTTGCTTTTCTCTGTTATACATCCTCGTAAAAGCACTGAAGGTCAATATCTCTACATCTAATGAAGATACCTAAAGCTGCAGGAAATATGGCCAATGCTACAAACAAAAGGGCAGCTCGTTAATCTAGTCACAGTGGGGAAGCAAACCAAATTTGAGAACTTACATGTCTTTCACCAGGATAAGCATACAAGATAGAATATGTCAAATCTTAAGGTCAGGCAGGTGCTTCATACTGATATATTTTGATAAGAGCAGTCATCTTAAAACTGATCCTGAAGTTACTTGAAACTGCTACTGGCAAGATTATTATTTGCAGAGCTTCTCTTGGGAGAAAGCTTGTAGAGGACACAATGAGTATAAAGCACGAATCACAGGGGAATATCCACTTGTAAAAAATGAAATGTGTGAATCCTACTGTGAGCAAACAATCAAGAAAAGTAACAGAAGCCAAGCCAGTGACCTTTATAAGAACATCTGTCATCTCGCACTGTGTTTCTCCACTGGTGAAACCGAAAACTGGGTCAAATAATGATATCGGGGCATCGGACATGTGCCCATGATAATCAGTGCTTTCAAATGACAGGACAAATAAATTATGATGGGATGAAAGACGTTTCTCTGAATAGCTAAACTGACTTTCTTAGATTCCTTTCCTGGGCAGACAGTGTTAGCTAGGGGCAGAGGAACAGGCTAATGAATGTACAGTCTCCAAGTGGCATCCCTGGCCAGCTGGAAGGATCTAAGCTGGAAAATGGAAATGGCCAACACTCTCCCCTCCCTCAGCAACTACCACCGAATAGCCCTGGAGCAAGGCACTTAACCCCTTACTTATACTGTTGCTCGGCAACACGCAGCACAAGACTGATTGCAATGAAGCTCCCTGGCGCAAATGTAGCTGTGCAGTGAAAGGGATGTAGGTCATTGCAACAAAAGCATTGTTCACAAGCTGCCAAAACATTCTTTGGGCATATAAACATTAAATATGGTATAAATTGGATGCAATACTATTATGGTATCAGACTCTCGCTGCCTGTGTATGAGGAAGAGGAAGAAAAGAAGAAGTGAACTGTGAATTTACACAAATATTAAAAAGGACATTTTTATGTTCATACTTGTATTATGGATTTCCAGTAAAATATCATGTTTACATGTTTCTATGTTCAAAAAACAAATGCAATGCTCAAACTATCAGTCAGATAGCCTATACCTGCATTTAAGCAGGTCCCTCCTTAAGCCCTACTCTGAAATTAACAAAAAGATATCCTAAAGTATTCAAGTTTCTGAATGGCAGCATTACCGATAATGTAGTCTCCATTTAATTCTCAGTCAAAGCATATTCGCTGCAGGGCAAAGTATTACAGTAATGTGTATTTATTTGCTATTTGAATAGCCACTAATTCAATGTATTGAAGTGTTTGAAAAAGTTTTGGTTCTTAGTGTTTACTTTGATCCATTATTACTTATAGGACAGTCAGGGCAGTTTTTGTAGTTCTTCATTTCACCCCTCAGGTACCCTATACAATATTTTTCCTTCCCTAGGAGAGCTTCAGTTGTTTACACACGATAATGACTTTGCTTGGCTAATGAATATTTAGTTAGGGCTAATTAAATAATCAATCAGGTAGGTTGTAGCGCACTCCCCCATCCCCCCCCTTCCCAAAGGACCCTCTGCAGGCGGGGGCTCGCGGGCACGCCTTCAGCTCAGCCCTCTCTCAGCGTCTGATCACATTACCTAAGCAACATGTCTCGTCCTGAGCGCGCGTACACCGGCTCAGCTGTCACATCCCCCAGAGAGAGACACTTCTCAGCTCTGATAAGAAACTCCAAAATGCTGTTACGAGTCGCCGTCCCAGGGCGTACCAGCTTTTCAACTTAATGGTGAGCATGCACCCTACCGGCACACATCATGTAACCTCACATTAGCTGTCAGTCAGCAGAGACGTGCTTGTACGGAGAACCACGCCGCGGCAGATGGTCCATGTGAGCACCCTACTGGTCAGATTACCGGCCATACAGTAGTGGTAAATCCGGGCCTTGCAGAATGGGGGCAGAGAGACGCGTCGGCTCAGTTTAATGCTAAGCTCTTGTTTAGTACAAACCCCTTGGCTGCAGGCCTGCTTCAGCTTTAAAATGTGTGAGATGCAGCAGTGCTGGCAAGCCTCTGTTTATCTTCACCCTCACTATAACAGACTCTCTTACAATGGCTAGTACAGATTTACCTGTTTAGACCATTCTGAACCTGGTATGATGTAACCTGTAGTTTAACTGACTATCTTGTACTGTTCAGTAACACAGAAGCTCAAACATAGGATCAAAAGACACATACATAACTTAAGTGGTGGATATAAAGGCCTCAGTGAGTGACAGAATGCAACGGCCTCCTCCTATACTGCCAGAAGTGATCAACAATCAAACTCTGCATATTTGTATCACACAATATATGATGCCATTACTACACCACATTAAAACATGCCCTCATTTTTCACAAGAAAAACATGTAACTTCTTTATTTAGGTTTTTCTATTTGGGGATTTGTATTAGGACAGAACGTAGAACCTAAATCTTATCAATCCAGCAGTATAAATAAAAGGGAAGTGGTAAATCACCAACAGTTCTCCAAAAATCCACAAATATACCCTATCCACAGTGTTTTTATTTGTATTTTAAATGTTTTAACATTTGTAACACAGTAACTGTAGTCATCTTAGCTTGGTGACTAAACCTTACACAAAATACGATTAAAATCTGAAAACATGTTGCTGTATTTTTATTATCATGTGGCTTTATTCTCACCTAGTAAACATACTGATATTCTCAGGTGTTGGCTTGTGTTGAGCTGCGGTTAATATTAGAGAAAAATAAATGCAAAGTCTTAACAAAAGAGGTCTGATTATGTTCTGTGTGAGTACACTAGAGCTTTCCAAGAGAAGGTGTGGGGGTTTGGTGTTGTGTTTTCCTTGATTGAAGTGAGAGGAACTTCTGTAACTCAAACAACAACACCTGTTTACACCCAGGAGCAGCTTGCTCAGTGTTAGTGAACATAAAGAAACATTAAATGAAACTTTTTAATTCAGACATTGTCCTATTCACTAGAGTGAGAAAATCCTAATGCTAATCTAGCAGTGGCTAATGATTAAGGGACGATGCTGCACCGTAGACCTGCAGTATTTCTTTCATGCAGGGCTCTGTGTGGCTGAAATAGGTTATACCACAATTCCCCCAAGCACTGCACAAGTGTTACAAACAAACAAAGACGCACAACCTTGCTTTATTGAGGTTCTCCTCCAGGGCACCAAATAAACAGGAAACACTGCAGTCTATACTACAGGGGGGGCTGGTGACTGATGAAGGTATAGCCCCAAACAAAAATGAGCAATTCATAGAGGTGAAGTCATGCTGGTGAATCTGTGCTGCTGCTGGCTCTGGCCTAATTTAACCCACGGTTATAACCTCTTTGAGGTATTACAGTGTATGAAACATCCCACAGTTGCAGTTTTAAATGCTCCTTGGGGTTATATAAAAGAGAAATAACAAATAACTGTATATTTCTGGAGGTAAAGGTGCCAATGTTAACCGTAACTTGTTTTAGTAACCATTCTGAGATGATATAATTCTCTTTTTGCCACAACACAGTAAATTAAAAGCTGCTCACAAATGATACGGATATTTTTGTGCCAAATTTGGTTATTCCATTGGCTTCAATTACTGAGCATTTAGAGTGAGAAAATTGATGTGGGGTTGGTTTTCAGGGTTGCAGGGCAGGGGTGCTCATCAGTGCTCTAACTGATTAGTGTTGATGCAGATAGCTACCCAGAGAGCACCAGTGATCAGTGTGTGGCCAGCAGCCTGCTGCAGTTTGGCTTGACAGTCCTCCAGTGGCTCCGCACTCACATCAATAGCTCAGTTCTGTTCCGTGGCGTCCCGCTGGGGATTGAACATGGAAAACTAAACCAATTTTTAGAGGTTTTGAAGCTTAGCTGCAGGATATCAGAGTAACTGTATTATGTTTCACAGGACCAAGGAGTGATAATGTTTCTGGTCCCACATCAATCTTGGAACTGAAGTAGTTTGTAAATGTGTTCAGAAACCTGTCTTTATTCCCAAAACACTTAATGAGGATTGTAGTTAACCTCATTCTTCCGTAACCTACTCGGAAATGTGACAGCATCTACCAATCCATCACCGCAGTCAGTGTTGTCAGAAATAGGCTTCTTAACGGTGAATGGACAGAGGAATGAGTTCTGTGCCAGTTGATTTAAAGCCTGTTTTTACTTTGAGATGTTTTCAGGCGTATAACTTTCCAAAGGATGGTTTTATTTGTCACAATGAAGGGACATGGCTTTTAGAATGAATTGGCATGCTGGTGAGAAATGATTCTCCTTCTCTGCCAATTTATTGGTGAGATTAAAAAAAAAAAAGACCATGGACTTCGTAATGGCCATCTTAAAGTCTGTTTGTCTCATACCTCATATAGTGATAGCACGAGGGATATATGCTTTCACTTTCTGATTTAATCATTTCATGAACTTGATGGAGGTGAAGAGATTTGTAAAGGGCCATTTATTGTTGATGTTCTTGAGGAATAGTATACAAAACAGAAATGCAGTATATTTCTTCAGTGTAGAAAGCTTACAAATTGGGTTAAAGTTATTCTATTTAATTTGACGTGCACCAATATAATCTTTCGAGAAGTCATCCCCTATCCTTGAGCAGGCAAACGATACACTAACAAAGTTCAGTGACTGCAGCTGTCAGGATCTCAAAAGTTCTGAATCAAGGAAATTATCATGAGAGATTACCATGCACAAGGAGGCTTTATCTCAACAGTGTTTTCCTCAATTTACACCTGGGTCTCCTTATACCTACGTCAGTGCCATTATACTGTAACTAGCAGTTGTGCTTCACTCACTAGCTAACATCTTCATTACCATCTCTACATTGGCTTAATGAGTCAAACTTTTTCTACTTGTGTTCTAAAATCTAAAGTCATTTTTCTCATTAGATGGTAAGTTACTTAATGTTTTGAGATCTGGCCTAGTGTATCATTAATCTGTATTCTGTATGCATTGTTACAGTATGTGGAATAGCCTATTATTCTGCAAGCAGTTCTTTTTTTCTTCTAATTATCGTTTTATCTGCTGATCCTTTTCATAATTAAAAGATGAATTGTCATAATGTAGTGAGAAATAGCGCACCCAACTACCAATTAACAGAAATGCAATAACCAATGTCAAATCTGTACATTTCATGGTTATGGAAAATGATTTTCTATACCAAGGAAAAAAAACAAAGGACATATTTGCTTTGATTATAAAAAAATATTATCTATCATATCAGTCTGACTGTTCGTCTGACTGCCTTTTGTTTTTGTTTGTTTGTTTTTTATTCCTGTTTTTCTTTGTAAAGCGACCTTGGGTCCCATGAAAGGCGCTATATAAATCTAAGCTATTATTATTATTATTATTATAAGCTGCTTAAAGCTAATGTTATGAAGTTGAACAGGTCACAATGGCCTGAATAATATATATATTATCTTGCTGTGAAAACTTCACCTTCAAACAACTTATTTCAATCAAGTTTCGACGGATAAACAACAGTTTACAAGATTACATTTAACCACATCTTTAACATGATGTTATAGTTTGCCTTCACTCAATATTAATAGTCAGCCACATCATTTTTTAGCCAGGTTTGATGAAAAAACGAGTATGTATTCACATTTTAGACACTGATCCAATTTACCAAACTGAAACAATGATTCACTTCCTGCTCATCACCTAATTGATGAATGGAGCAAATATTATAGTAGTACAGCCCATATTTTGTAGTATGACATGCAGGCATAGCAGTTTGATGTGATCATTTGTCATGTCCTTTTGGTGTAATCTGTCAAACTAGGATTTACACAGCTCCCTTGATCCATTGCCCTCTGCACCATGCGTGATTGGCATCCTAAAATGTAGGTGAAAACTGAGCTATAATAAAAGCAGTAGGTTGTGTGAGACAATTAGTTGACCCCCCCCCCCCACAAATAAGACCTTGCTTCTGACCCCGCGGCCCTTATTACTTGAACCACTCGAGCGAGGGGCCCGCAGTTTAATCCTAACAGATCAATAAGGCATCTTAATATCCCAGAAAATCTTTTGGCCTGTTTATCTGAGGAGAGGCCAAGAGTATAGATTGCTGTAATGGTATGAATTAGTATTGAATAAGATTCAGATTAAATGAATTTGAACTGCGGCACAATTAAGAAGGATGAATGTGCTTTTAGGGTCCAAATTGCATTCATCATGCAAACTGTGTGGAGCCAAAACAGCCTCTAGGTATATCATTTAGGATTGTACTGAAACTAATTGTATTAGAGGTGGTGAAAAATCAATATCGGGATCAAATGTATTGACTAGAATTGAAACCACTAAACTTTGCATGTGTGAGGCTTTACTGCAAATCTGTGGAAATTTCGGTCTAGAAAAAATGTTTCCTCCACATGTTTCATCCTTGGCTACAGTGTTTCTTCTTGCATCCATCCATTACTCATGCTGCTTGTTGACGTTGCCAGTTAGCTGTCACATGCGTGGTGATATAAGATGGTCTTTTTATCCCAGCTGTCTCTCTGCTCCAGTTTTGGATTACAGATCTCGGTGAGACAGGATCTCCGTCATGGTGACCAAGGTCTTATATGGTTAATAGAAAAGGTCATATTCCATCATAACATTATTGAATTGTGGCAACTACTACCAGTACCACTGCCTCCTGTCTAGATGCATTGCTGGTGATGGTGTCATTCAACATTACTGCCACAAAATGCTACCATTAGCTGCGGAATTGTCAGGTAGTCATTTTTTTTGTGGGCATATTATAATAAGATGTTATTCTTATTCAATTATTTAATAGTTTTAGTAATATATTTTTTGACAAATGTATGGTGTTTTAGTCACATTTCTGATTGATTTTGATCCTGTGAGATATTTATCATTTGTTTAGTTATAACTTGTCTTTATTGCTTGGACATTGAGTTAGATACTGGTTTGGATCTAAAGGAGGGTTTCTGGGTTAAACCTGTATACTTTGGGGCAGCGCATCAAACTGTTGATGAAAATGTTGGGTTGCTTATTTACACGTCAAGCGATATGGAGAAACATTGGCATTCATTTGGAGTTGTGTTTCTCTTTTATTAGCATTCTAACATCAGCAAAGTGTGGTGAACATAGAGCAGAACTTAAATTAATGCTAGGCAGCTAATACTGATAGATATGTGCATGTTAAATAGGGAGGTTTTGTGTTGTCTGAAATAACTATAATATGTGTATCCTGAGTGGCAGGAGTTGCTTTATTTTTATGTATTGAAGTCAGAGTTTAGGAACACATAATTCCACCCTGGCTGTGGGGTTGATTATGTTCTTTTGAGTTGCTATTTATTTCGTATTATGGACACATTTCAGAATAAATAGATTAGTCTAATTGCCTTTGTTTTGTTTTAATGCAGTGGCATGGAGCTGTTTTCTTTTCACTAATATCTAATATATCTCCAGAGCTGATGGAAGGTATTCTTTGGTTGGCAAACTCTAACATAAAATAATATGAGAGACCGTTCTGTGAAATGTGGAACATTAACTTAGTTTCAGCTATATTGAATGGATATTTTTCTCTGGTTTCAAAATGAGATTAAATACAACTTATATTTTTAAATCTACTCACGAAAGTTTAAAAAAACATATTAAGGTGCTTTGTATATAATCATGTTTTCTCTCTCATATTCACCAGTACTGTATTGACTATATTTGGATCACATTATTTCAAAAACTGAATAGGTGAAAGAATAAAGAAATGCAGCAGGATGATCAACCAGCCTGGCGGATTTTTCCCCTTTGATGTACAGAGTCTGAGCCACTCTTCATGTACAGTGTTACGTTGCTCTTCCCTGATTGACTTTACTGTAAAAGTAAACAAGCAAGCAAGTGAGTCATTCCACACACTGTAAAACCATACACCATACACCAAAGCAAATTCCTTGTATGTGTAAACGTACCTGGCAATGAACTTGATTCTGATTCTGAAAATACTCATTTTACTCATTGTTAATAACGTTAATGTAATGTTAATATGTGTTTAAAGCAGTTTGAAATGAAAGTAAGGTAAAAAAATGATGAACAACTAACTTGTGCAATGTATTCCTCCACTGCTCCTAATAATTAATTGAAAAAACCAAACACACATTTTCTCCTCTTAATTTGAAATTCAATTATGTTTTTCCTCAGAAATCAGGTGTGAGCTTTCCCATTTGTTCAGTGCAACATAATAGTCAATTTCTCTTCTTGTGTAAACGAGGTCGTCTGGGTGCCGACACTTCTTAATGACAATACTTGCATCTCATTGACTTCATCACTCCCCCTTTTATTGATATTGGTGTTCCATATTCAGCATTTTCTTACTTATCACCATGCAGTTATTCATATCAGCCCTTGTGAGCTGATCAAGGAGCAGAGTTTCTGTCTTGCAGGGAGCCTGCTCTACTTTGTTGTATTATCTTGTGTACACGGATGAAAAGGGCCTGAGGGAGAAAGACAATGCTGTCTGCTTAAAATCATCTCTCTGCGTGACACTGAGGTATCAGGCACCGGCAGCGAAGAGAGAATATTTTATCTGACATTGTCAGTCTCTGTAGAAACCTCAAGGAGGCTGAGGCCGCTGTGACACACTTGGTGGTCAGCAGCACTGCATATGATTATGACAGCTCTGCTACACTTGCCGAAGTCAAAAGTCGAATTGAAAGGAGTGAAATCTGTATGTGTTACAATAAAAAAAAAGTTTATGAGGGTGGTTTTGCTTTCATCAAGTTTCAAGTTGTGGAAAATAACAGAATATTAGAGAAAACATGATGTATGAACTTCCTTTTCATTAATCGCAATCTTTGTTTTCCTCAGGTTATTACCATCATGTGCAATTATTGTACAACATCTCATGGAGTGCCATACATTACATCTACCTCATCCGTTCTCCAGATGACAGGAGAATTCAGAGTCCCAGGTTGAATTGCATTAAATAGAAAGACTTTCAAACATGGGTCCATCGTTGCTTCACTTGATAGCCGTCTTTGTGGCCGTCCACGTGATCCAATGCCAAGCGGTTTGCAACAGACAAGCTTCACTTGAATGGCACCCTAAACAACACGCAATCCAAGTCAATTGGACCCTCGTAGGAAACATCTGTAGGAGCGTTACTGAGTGTTGGAATTCTCCGGGGGGAGAGGAGTCAACTACCCCTGTCATTTTCCCACAGATCTGCCCACTTCAGCTGCAACATGGAGACAAACTGCTGATGTCTGCTGATGAAACACTGAAGTCATACGGCTTCACACTCCTCAATGTGTCAAAGGATGAATTTGAGAGTTGTTCAACGAATAGACAAATAAAAGACCAGTTTATTTTCCCCCACACTATAAATGGAACGAAGCAAGTTGAGGCCAAGTGGCTGGTCCCGGGTCATCATTACTTCATCGCTCTGCATGAGGGGGAAACGCAGCTGTGCAAGCTTGGCCTACGGCTCAACGTGTCTGTTAAAACGCAACTTTGTCAGGGTTCTCCTCTGCTTCGGCTTTGTTCGGGGAGCGGTGTTTGTCAAACAGGCCTCTGGGATGGTGCGTACCGCTGTCGATGCCACCACCACTACTCTGGGAGTTTTTGTGAAAAGTCTGATGCCTGTTTGGATAACCCGTGTGAAAACAAAGGGGTCTGTTTGAGCAATGGATCCACAGATCCAAACCACAGAACATATAAATGTCTGTGTCCTCCGCATTTTACAGGTAAGGACACCAACTGATAATACCTCTTGAGCTCTTTTAACTTCTTTGAATTAAATTAAAAAACAGCTGTTAATTCACTTCCCCCTCGTTATTTTTACATATATTTTGCTATGAAGTTGCTTGAAATCATATATTATTTTAGAGTTACCCTACGTCATTTTTAAATGTTGTATAATCTGGTTGATGAATTTGACAGTTAGATGTGTCTAACAGAAATTATATAGAAAAAAGCTTACTTTGTAACACAAGCAGCAGTGTTTCCCCTACCATTGTCTTGGAGGGGCGCTGCGCCCTGCCAACGGAGCCCCACGCCCCCCCTGAAACACTGATGCATTAATCAATAACAATAGTCCACAGCTCCTCTCTCTGCTCCAGAGGATTTAAAAAAGATATATCCCAATGCCATCTCGCTCGTGAGTAGCATGTTTTGCGCG